TTTTAAGTGGAATTTCTTGCGATCACAGCAAACTGACCAAAACAATTTTATTTATCATTTTCAAATATGAAAAGTATTAGTATAATATTACTATGTCATCCATTTCCTATACCTATAAGATAAAAACTAAAGTATAACATGAAAATGACACCACCAACCTATTTCAAAATTTGATCTCCCTATAGAAACAAATTCACAGAACTCAAAGCTTAATAAAAAGATCAAACAGCTGGTACACTGAGAGCTTACCCACCCACTCCTGCACTTCAGATATATCACATTTGAAAGAAAAAAATATCATTCCTCCTGGAAGGAGAACACGTTTTTGAAAGAAAGAGTGCATACATGTTTCCAGGACTTACTTAAGTGAGAAACTGGCATCCCAGTTTGGTCAACAATTACCAGTTTGCTGGCATTCAGCTAGGGGAAAGCAAACCAGTTTCAGATCAACACAAATGCGGCACTCCACGCCCTGCTACTGGGACTATCTGAAAGGGTGCTTATACTAAGTACAAAGCAGGGAGACGCGGTGTGCAGGCAGCATCAGCCTGCAGCCAGCACCGGGCACCTGCCAACCTCCTGGCAGCGCAGCACGGGGTCCTCCTGCACAAAGAGTTCTCCCCTACCTTGGCTGCAGAAGCCAGCCCTCCCTCTTCTCTATTCTTCTTTCTCTTCCTTTCCCTTGTTGTTTTTTGGGTTGGGGATTTTTCCTCCATCTCCCCCACCCCCACCCCCCATCTCTAAGAAACACGACACAGCCTGGCAATTCACATAGGCCAGGCTTCCTTCTATGCAGCCCTTTGGGTAGAGCTGCTAATCCTTCTTATTAATTAATGAGATAATAGCAGTTAACCGGAAAGCAATAGTAATGCTAACTATCTAGGAACTTCCAACAGAAATTATTTAGTTTGTTTGCTGATTTCCTGGTAACAAAGTCATGCAGCTGGAACTGTAGCAGCATCTTAATGATTTAAGAAGTTAAAAAAACAAGAGTGCCTGAACACTATCAGACTAAGGACATCTGCATCTATTTTCTGCCCTCCTTCTTGGATAGTTTGAAAGATGCTCCCCTCCCTCAACTTCAGAGTTTATTAACAGCTGGGGATATGGGTTTCCCCAATTATATCACTTTTACACTAGGACAAAGGAGAGTGTAAACAGCAACATGACTGATCGGAGAAATGTACTCCAAGATGCACATGCATTAAAGACACAAATGTTTAGCATTTATATGTATCATTGCTTCAGCCCTTTAAACTCCTAAAGAATTTCTCAAGGTCCACTATGCTTCATTCAGTATGTGCTAGCATCAAGTTTGCATTTTATTTATGCTGCAAAAAAAACAGCAGAGATGATGCAGGGATTAGGAATTCTGCAGATGAGGCACATTGCTGTAGATATTTTATGGTTTAGAAAAACAGCAAGGCAATTTTTAACTATATTTTTATTATTAACCATTGTAAGAGCAAGTAAAACATCTACCAGAAGAAGGGATTTATATTATCTGGGTTCTGTTGCAGCAAACAACTACTGCAGCTTTCATTCACTGATTGTCAAAAACTTTCCAATGTGCCCACTGCAATGCGGATGCCAACCAACGAATCAAAGGCATTCAGCAACTAGACAAAGAGGGTCTGATGCCAACCTCGGTGCCACTGGCAACCATTATTGGCATCAAGCACATTGTCTGCCTTTTTTTTCCCCCTCTCCTGGCACTCGACAAACAAAATGGCGGTTCTTGTAGCAACGGAAACACAGCATAAGCACTGCACTGAATCAAATACCATCAAATGATTTTACGGATTGCGATGCGTTTCATACCAAATGATAGACACTCTCTGATGCCTGACAGAAGGGAAAAAAGAAAAATAAGGCATTTTTGTCAATAGAAACAATGTTCATGCTATTTTCAACTTCTGGGCTTTCTAAAAATTCAGGGTGGGGGGGGGTGGACCTGATGCACACAACAAGCAGAGCACCGTAGAAGGGTGTTATGATTAAGAGTTACTTTGATGTTAAACACTGATCACAGCGTGTATTTCCCATTTTCTTCCTTCATTTCTGTCAAAGAAGCAGCTTTGCAACTTATGTCAAGCCCCTTTTTCTATTATTTTTTTTTTCTTCATAAAGCACATGAGGATAGCAGAAAAAGAATGGATGGGGGGAGAAGATGCTGAATTTTGAGGGAGATGAGCGAAAAGTAGAACCAGATGAAGTTAGTCAACTTTGGAAGTTGGTCCTTATTTCTTCTTTCTAGGCAGGCGTGGAAGTAGAAGCTCTTTTTATTAAGAACTGAAAAGATTATTGACACTTCTGGATCTGGAAATTGTCAATATATTGTAACATTACTCTGCACTGCAATGCGGATGCCAACCAACAAATCACAGGCATCCTAGGCTAAACAAAGAAGGTCTGATGCCAATCCTGGTGCCACTGGCAACCATCACTGGCACTCAAACTATCCTTCCTCCTCTTTTTTCCCCTAATCTTTTTTAAAGCAACAAAAAAACAAACTACTTGGCCCCTTTATTCATTTTATGTGCTAATTCCTTCTTCATATTTCATTCAGGGATTTAATTATTTCTATGTTTCTGCTTAGTTTTTACGTGATACCATTAGGCAGGTTTATATATTCTGAAAGAGAAATAAAAAGCTAAACAGCGTGTGTATAATGCAGCATTTTGGTCGACTTCATGCTTATCTTTTGCAAAGCCTTGCGCTCTTAATCAAGTGCCACAATTAACCTGCTTTCAATGAGGACAGAGAATCAAGGTTTGACAAAATGGGGGGAAAAAAATACAAAGATATAACCTAATATGACTTCTTCAAGTAAATAGCCAACAGATGTTAATGGAAGATTTACTGTGAACAGCAAGACAGATACAAAATATATGCAGTTTACAATAAACAAAAGGGTCTACTGAGAGTGCCTTAGTATACAGAAATTAGCCAGCTTCACCTTCCAGTATATTGTCAAAGTAATAGCGTATAACTTTGAAAGTTATAATATTACAGCATGCTTATCTTACTAATTTCTGGTTAGACAAGTGTTTTAAATAAACTCATATTCTCAATCTATTTAAATGAATATTAGCTATGCCCTGCAATTCCTCTTCCCACTTCAAGTTACTGGCTTCCAGCAACTCAAAGTCGACAGTGTCTAAGGGTACTCTGACCCCAGCTTCTTTGGCTCAAGAGCTACTTAAACAGCTTTGCCTCCCTTTGTAGTTTTGACTTTTAGAGAGAGGTAAATCCATTAGAATTAACCAGTAAGCCACGTCTTCCAATAAATGCATTCAAAATATCATTTGAATTTCTCTTCACAAAAGGAGTTTAAACATACAAATTGTTTGTCATTAGTCTATTTTGCTTAATGCTATCAAAGAAATCTTTCTGTGTTATTGGGGATTAGATTTACCAGACTCTGCAGCTACTTATAGTCGCTGCAAAACATCTACAATGCTGTTTACTGCTGTGGAGAGAAAAAAATACAAAAAATACAAGCAGGAAAATAAAAAAAAAAAAAATAAAACACAATGGAACATATTTTTTCATTATGAATAACCAAAAAAAAAAAATGAACCCTATTTATACATTCACATAAACATAGTGCTCCACTTGCATGAGTAAATGCTAAAAGACCAATCACTGAAAACAAAAAAGGTTGTTTCGTGTTATCTGTTCTTTTAAAGGATGAGTACACACTGAATGAAAACATGCAATTTTAACTTTTTGTTACTAACAAAATCCATTCCGCTTTTCAGTTAAATCCAGCAGTTATGTATCAGGCATCATATAACAGTCTGCCATCTGACCTTCTGCAGACCATTTCTGCCTGCTTCCAGGCCAAGTTGTGAAATGGCCCACCATCTGCAGCCAGACAAACTTTCATTAGTTGAGATCTGTGGCTAAAACATAAATACTCTATTCCTGCTGATTAGTCAGCAACAGAAAGTCGTCTAGAGGGTGGTATAATTACCAGAAAGAACCAAAATAACCTCTCACAGAGAAAAAGCATTTCAGAAGGCTTAGTATGAGAGGAAAAAATACTTTATCTACTTACAGCCATCTACAATTTCATGGAACCTGCCAAAACATTATTGTTATCTGAATACATGACTAGCACTTTCTTCCCTGATACATGATTATTAGAAGCCCTGTTTTTGTTTCCATTCTCTAAAACTAAGTTTAAGAAGCTTTTCCACAGTGTTCCTGCAATTTTTCACATTTCAATTACCTGTCAAATAAAATTAAGTATTCAAGTGTGATTATGAAAATATACTTTTCATGGAAAATTCTCTCAAAATATTCCAACCTGGATCTTTGCTTTAAAGCTTGGATAGGTAAGACAAGCTAGTGTGGTAAAGTATGAATAAAATGTTAAGTACTGTAAATTGTAATTCTGACTACAAATGGCATCTAAAAGCACTATTTCTGTGCTAAAATTTTTTTCTATTTTATTTTATAGACATGAGAAAGTCTACAAGTCCTCTTCAAAATGATAGTAGGTTCATCCATCTAAGGATAATTCTTGATTATTTGTAACTACAAAGACAATAATAAATATTTTTAGTATTTATTGTGATTGAGCAATTGCAAATACCTGCATCTGTTACTAACAGTACTGGGGGAATAAAAAAAAAAAACAAAACAACACATTGAAAAACAAGAAGAATGTTTTCTGAAGTCACCGCTGGAAAAACTACACTTTCTAATATTGCCACTTTCTGACAAAAAGAAAAGGCAAATTTAGTGAAACTAAAGTATTGCTTTGGTATGTCCCACTCTCTCTTGAAAGAGAGCAAGGCACGTATGTAAAACATACATGTTAGTTACACAGATGCGTAGGAATGTGTGTGTGTGTGTGTGTGTGTAAGTATATACGTATACATGTCGATTTACATATGGATGTGCACCCACATTACGTCTATAGACTGCAGAATAACATTTCACTAGAAGCCAGCCCATAGGGGAAACAGAAACAACAATCTGCTTCCTACCTTGCTCCTGCACGTAGTATGCCAAAAACAAATCAAGCTCCTTGACTGATACTGTTATGTGATGTGGCTGGACGCAAAGTGCTGGATTTGTGCAATGTGGGGATTTCATGAGCCGCTCTCCATCCGTACTTTCCAAGGGGATGCCTTTGAACAGGATCACCATGACTAGATCCAGACGCCAGACTTTGTCAGCCTGTCGCAGGCAGTCGATTCTCCTAATCTTACCCTTCTGGTCAGGATTGGACAATACACAGCATGGGTGCTTCTTCCCAGTCACCGTGAGCACAAAATCCTCCCGGAACTCTTGGCGAATATCTTTGCGCAGCTTGGCCAGGAGCCTGGATGCCCACTTCTGTTTAATTTCAGGCTTTTCGCTAAGTAGCTCATCCTTGACTGCTCTTTCCTCATCCTTTGACATTCGTTTCTCATGTTTCTTAAAGTACTTGCGTTTTCGAGCCTGAAGGTTGAACCAAGTATAGGCAATTGCACGGACATGTGGAAGAAGTGCCTCAATGAACGGGTGAAATTCATCCTGCGGAAAGAAGTGGAGGGGAAAAAAAAAAAAAAGAAAAGAAGAAAACTCAGCGTCAGTAAATTCTCATAATCAAAGCAGTATCAATCAAAGTTTCTGAAAATTTTAAAGTGAAATCCAAGACAAATAGGATAAACACTTAAAATTCACGCAAATTTCTGCATAACACCTTTTATGCAATTACTACCGCTGCCAGGCGGCAGACAAAAAGTACACAAAGAATTGCATTTTCCTCATATTTCACTCTTCAAAAGAACCATGTGAACATTTTATTTTGTATGGCTCCCCTCACTTCATCCCACAAAACTGCAGAAACATCATTTAAAAGATAAAAAGATGCATTATCAAGATGTTTCGTTCCTAACATTTAAATATCTGAGTGAATGGCTAACATCAAGAAAAGTACCATTGCACAAAGAGGACACTATACGGTTTTAAAAAATCTGAGCAGAAATGTTCAGAAGGCTGAGGCGAATGCCACAGTTCATTTCTCTTCTCTGTGGCACAGAAACACAAAGCATATACATGCTCAGTGTAATGCCACACAGTTCCCGCTTTTGGAGCATGCTCTCAGCAAGAGACTGCTGGTGGCACAAAGAGCATGCGCTATTAAACTTGATCCATTTTCTTATCAAACGTCCAGCATTCCAGCACTGAAACAGCACCATTCCAGTGGTGGTAACTACAGAAACCAGTATACAGTAAGGAAAAGCAGGCAAAAGACACAGTGCGTCGTATACAAATCCTGAACAGAAGCTTCAATACTTTCAGCTCTTTGGGCTTCCCTCCCACCGCCCCCAATCTAGGTAAAATAAAAGTTTATGAAGTTGAAAACAAAAATCACATTTATGTTCTTCCAGTAGGTTCACTGTGGGTTTTGAGGCTTCACAAAGTCAGTTAATTTGTTAACTGATCACATGAGTGTGGCAATTATTCTAAACCCCTTAAAAATCAATCTAAGGTGTACAATGAAAAATGGCAACTTGGCACAAACTTTGCATTCTTTGTGTTTCTGCATGCTGTGGCAGAGTGACATTACAAGTGCACCTCTGGTGAAATGCTGCTTTTGTGAAATCTATGTAATTTATTTACAGTTCCAAAATATTCCTTTCTGACATCTGGCTTCACCTGCAAGTTCTTATCTTCTGCCTAGCAGCGATACGGATTGCATTAAGGAGGTAATGCTTAGTTGTTGTCTACAAGTACATCCTATAGCAATTAAATTAATTCATTTTGTCTGCTTAAAGTACCATCCTCCACATTCATGTTAATATCTAAAGAGGCCTTTCCCAAAAATTTTTTTGTGAGAAAATCCCCTGTTTAGAACTGCATGATCTGCTTACCAAACATTACTGTATTTTGGCTTGGAAGAGAGACCTTAGGGGAGGTATCTTTCTTCCTGTGTGCAAGCAAATTTAGTTTTAAATACCATGCAGATTGCTCATCATATTGAGTGGCACAGTGCAATCAAACTAAAACTGACCCTCTTTTATACAATTATATTCAAGAATACAATTATCAAACTAATATTTTAGCCACGCTGCTAGACAAGGAATGAATTATGTTTAATCAATAGGTTGATTAACTCCATTAGGTAAAAATGATGAAAGTATAACTAATGGTCTCAATTATACAGGGTTCAGACTGCCATTGTAGAAGCTTCAGGCCAAGAATTCAGTATTTAAATCTTCAAATTTCAAACAAACTTTAAAATTTCCTGAATAGTAAAAAAGCCCATTAGATCTAGTTACCTCTTATCCCTAACCATTCTCAAGTCAAACAAAAAACAACTTGAAAGTTGAAGCAGATTACCTAAAGAGCATGTTACCTTCGCAGGGGAGGGGGAAGCTATATATAAAAAATAAAAATAAAATAAAATAAAATAAAATAAAATAAAATAAAATAAAATAAAATAAAATAAAATAAAATAAAATAAATAAAATAAAATAAAATAAATAAAAAGAGAGACAATATCGGAAGATAATTCAGGACATAAAAGACTGCATTACAGTCTGATGCTTGACAAAGAGCCACAAAGGCAATAATTAAACTGATTAGTAGTTTCCAGCAGAGATTTGAACAATTCTGATACTATACTGGCACATAAAACTAGGCCATGGAAAGAGTTAAACCACAATCTGCTCTTTGTGTGGGAAGGCAATACGGCTCTGAATAACCACAGCCCATGATAAGACCTCCCTATCTTCATACACTTTCTGATGCCATGCTTTTTTCCCCCTCAATTATAACTACTAAAGAAAGTTTATTTTTACTTCAACAGAAGTCATCTTAATAGAAGTATTCAAATATTTTTTTTTTTTAATTAACATAAGCATAAAGACTACATGATGTTAAATCCTTACAATTCATTTTAGACTGAATAAAACAGTCTACTATAGATCTTGAAAATTCTAACAGCTGGGGCTAAAGGTGGAGTGAAGGCAGGGGGTTGAAGAGCTTTGGTAGAAATTAATTTTTGCCCCAATACAATGACTTCCCCTATATCTACACAGACTTCAACATTCATAATTGAAAATGGAAATGAAATTAATGTGGAAATATTCTGTGCTATTAGAATATTGAACATCTAGTTTTCTAAGAAAGAAAGAAAACATTCTTCTAAGAACAACACAAACTATTTTGGAATGGCTCTGTCTTCAGGTAATGTACACAGCATTTACAATAATAACCTATGGCATTTTATCTATGAAAATGTTACAGAGGAAAAATGAACTTTCTAAATTCCTGTCTACAGTGGTCGAATGCTTTCTTTCAGGAGAATGGAAGAAAAAAAGCAAATAAAATAAAATAAAAGGAGAGGGGGAATGTGACTTTTAATTCAGGCTTTTCTTTCATAATATCAGTAAGTCCTAAAGATAAAAATATATGTGAAAGAGTGTGAAGGAGAAACACAGTAAAGAACATCCTGTTCTAAAGCAATATTATCAGAGATTTTTGAGAGATTCATTGTGCATCTGGAGTCCTTTCAAATGAAACATTACTTGACAAGAAGAAGTGCCCATAAAAATGATCCTAAATGGAGATTTGCAATTAATCACACACATTCTCCACTAAACCTCCTAAAAAGCCATCTACAGAATTTGATTTTTTTACCCCTTAATATTCATACAGGCAATACTGAAATTATTTTTTTATGTGGTTCTCACTCATGTGCCACAGTAGCTCTTGCAATAAAGTGATTTATGGAGGTAAGATTTTCAATTGTCATATCAAATAGTTCAGGTGAACCATTGTGCACTGGCAATTTAAATTAAGGTGGAAGTTATTGTGTAACATCTGTATAGCTTGTAAATAAAGGAAAAAATAACAGTCACCTAATGATGATAGATAGGCCAGGTTTTCTTTTGGTGAAAGGTAAAGGGGAAATGCAGGGCCCTTCTCCCATTTTTCACTTTTATAAACTTTGTAACAGTTCATGCAAGCTTGGACTAAGGAGCACACAATAAATACACCTGTTCTAAGAAGTCCAAGAATTTTATAGGGAAAACTTCATGTACTCAATTTCCCTTCTCTGGACTTAATATATTCTAGCAGAGGGAAAGAAAAAAAAAATAGAAAGAAAAAGAAGAACATATTCTGAGTTTCCTGGACCACCATTAACATAAAAATAAACCATGGCAAAAATATCACAAGAGACCAAGCACTTAAAGGCTTGCAGTAACTGCATCCCATCACGCCTCAGCAGGAGAGATAAATGCAGTTTCCACTCGTTCCAAAATAGGGGGAAAGAGGTATGTGGGAAGGAGAGGAAAGGACCCCAATAAAATTTAAATTGTATTTGGTAAGTCATCTTCTTCCTTGAAGTTATTTTACACCCACCATTTTTTTTCTGAAAGAGTGATGGGTAGCATTCAAAATGCCAAGGTTTGTCTTAAAGCTGTACTCTGGGTTTTAAACTTGTATCTAAAAGCTGCTTCAGCACCGTTGCAGCACAAACTGAACTACTGCTTTTGCCAGGAGCTCAGTTCAAACAGGTGTTCTGTGTTTAGAACTTTTACCAAAATATTTTCCTCTGAGCATACACTACCACAGTCAACATGCATCGCCAAGAGCCCTGGAGACCGAGAACACAATAGAGAGAACAATTTTGGTAGTGCTATTTTAACTCAGTCGCAACTCACTCTTTTGCTTTAAATAAATAAATAACACAAAGTATGAATTCTCATTATCAGTGAAATCTTCATTTTTAATTTATGGAGAGGAAAGGTGATTTTTAAAATGCCTTTACCATTTCAAACAGGTAGAGAAAGATTCCAAACTACAAGCAGTTTGCTGCAAATGTGTTCCACACATACAACACTAAATGGGAACTGTCTCTGCATGGCACATGACACAGCATGATTGTAAAATATCATGGGGAATTCATCGACACATGAAAACCAGGAACTGCTTTCCTGTATTTACGGCTGTAGACGTGCAATGTTTTCATACACACCTGAGTGCAGTATTTTAACACAGATTTGTAAAGAATGAGGAAATTTATTACATCTGTGAGTCCAATAAGCAAACATGGGGCGGGGGGGGGGGGAGTGGAAATGTCATTAGAGCAGGAAATAACATGAACTACTCATTGTAATAGAGGTGGTAGTAAAAACTTGCATGTTTCCAATGTGAAATTCACTTTCTCAGGTTGTTCTCTGAGGTCTTACTCGGGTGCATAGGTCTAATTGCTTGTCAATAATCTCACAGGATGGACAGCCCACACAGAATTCATTTTTACTAATTGCAGATCCCACCATAAGTAATTATTTCTATGTGTGTACCTGCAAGCATGTGCGTATCTGTTACACATAACGCTTCCTACATGCACTCATTTTTTCTGCTGAAGAAGTATCTCAACAGTACTCTTTTCCAGCTTTGCTTCGCTGCAGCTCACATTTACTTGCTGAAAATATCCATATCTAAGTCAATCACACTTATATGCCAAACAAAATATAAACAATAAAAAATGTGTCAGCCAAAAAGCTACAGGACTGTATCCAATCACTGCAGAAGCCTTATCGTTGTTTCCATCTTCATTCACAATTTATGAATACTTCAGTCCTTTTGAATTACAATGCTTTCTAATTGTGGAATAACTTAAATCATATTTATTTATTCACCGTGCCACTGTAGGAGCATCGCTGGCTGCTGAACTACAGCGTTGAGGGAGACGTTACTTTCTCCCATTTTCTGCTTCTTTAGCCATTTGTTGCGCCAATGTGAAAGCCAGCAGTTATCGCTTAATCAGTTTACATCACATCCTCCTAAAACAGACTTTCACAAAAACCTCTGAAAACTATCCCTGGGCTTTACAGACCAGGTTCGCTCGCCGGTGTTCCGGCGCCAGCTCCCCGTTACCGTACGCCCGGCAAGGACGCTCCTGGGGCAGGCGAGGAAATCCCTAAACCCGCTCCTTAACTCCCTCCAGCCTCAAAAACCGCACTCTGCCGCCGCGGAGACCTCCGCTCGGGCTGTCCCCCTCCTCTCCGCGCACCGCCCTGCGCCTCCCCGCTCCCTCCGTGCACCGCGCCGCGCCGGCCGCGGCTTCGCCCGGCTCCCTCCCGCCGTCCCGGTGACAGCCGCCCCCCGGGAAAGCAGCCGCAAGGGCGGTGGTGAGGAAAGGCTGTATCTCTCCCGGCCCTCGGGGGGATGCGCCCGCCTGCCAGCGTCGCGGGGTAGCCGGCAGCGGGGAAATGCCATGCCCTGGTACCGCCGACCCAGGCAGGCTGCACGGCTCGGGCGTCCCGCTCGCATCGCCCTCGGTGCTGGCAGGCTACCTATTATTATTAAGGAAACATTCGTCAGGATTACTTCGCACCGGCTAGCGTTAGGTTTTGGGGGGGGTTTTATTCCTCAAAACCACCACTTTTCCTTTCAAACCCTTTAATTAGCCTGGCGAGCTGAAAAGAGAGCAAATCGTTTGATTCCAATCAAATCAATACTTCTCAAACATGCTTCTTAGCGTAATTATGCTCATTTCCATTTTCTTAACCTTTGACTTCTTATGCACCAACAAGTAACAGTACTTGTCTGCGGGTGACACTTTGAATGGATCTCCCCAACACAATGGCCTGGTACAGTTTATTCTCTACTATTCCCTCCTGCGAGAGGGAGTTTGGATCAGAGAAGCAATTACAACTGTGCTTTAACCCATTACGACTAGAAATGACTCATTACCAACTCACATACATGCAAAATTAAAAAAAAAAAAAAGCTTAAATAAATAAGTAAAACGCGTCTATACCTGAGTGAGACAGATTGGAGAATACATCATGACTTCGCTTTGAGAACACGCTGCCCGGAGAGCCCCTAAGAAAAGCCTCAAAAAGGAATAATTTCATCTATCCATTTTACAGTCATCTGAGACTCAAGAAAGATGAAATCAATCAGGACGGGGCTCTGCCCTGTATCACCAGAACTTCACAACAAACCCCAGTCCTCCTTAAATAGCCAAAGATTCAAGTTCACTCCGTGTGCTAGATTTCCCGGGGTGAAATCCAATCTACACTTTTAACCCTCTTGTAGTCGGCGGCGCAGGAGTCTTGCTTTGGCTGCTGCTGCTGCGGCTGCTGCTGGTGGTTGTTTTGCAGATGAGGGGGGAAGGACTCGGGGGGGGGGGGGGGGGGGGGGGGAGGATTTTGTTGTTGCTGTTGTTGCTTGGGATTATTATATTTTTTATCCTTTTCTTTCTCTTTTCCCCCCTAAAGACGCCGGTGTCCGTGTGTTGTTATCTCGGCTCTGTCACCGCGCTCGCCAAAGTTCAAGGTTATAGCCCGCAGCGGAGCAGGACGATCCCTGGCAGAGATGGCAGCCCAAACTTCGCCGGGCAGCGACCATGCGGGCGGCGGGCGCGAGCCGAAGACGGGGGCGCGCGCACCGGGGCGGGCAGCGCGCGGCCTGGTAGCTCCCGCCCTCGCGCCGAGGGCTTAATGGCGAGGGGCTTCTTCCCGAACGCCGTCTGTAACAGAAACGATTCCTCGGAAAGTCAGACGGCAAGTCGCTCCTTCCCGGCACCTCAGCGCCGCGTCCCGCGTGTGCGCGCGTGTGTCCCTTCGCTCCTCAAAACTTGGGAGTTGGAACACGGGGCGGTCACACCCTGCGGACCGCGCTGCTGCGGCAGCGGTCTGCCCAGATGAAACCCAAGTATTTATTATTATTATTATTATTTAATTACACAATCACCGCTTACACTCCTCCTCCTTCTCCTGCAAACACATTCCTTCTTCTTCAGATCCCCCTCCCCTGCCCTCCCCCTTTATTAATCACCAGCTAGCGCCGCAGAAGGAGCTAGCACGTTTTGCGAACATCCCTCATTTTCCCTCTCTTCTGATGGGAGAAAGTTGCGGGGGGGGGGGGGGGGAGAGAAAGGCGTCGCGGGGGGAAGGTTGCCATCTGCAGGAGGTCTCTTCCCCCTCCACCGTTCGGGGTACGATCCCGTCCTTGGCGGCAGAGTTCGGATACAGCTGCTGCCCTCTCTGCGGCCCCCGGCCCCCCTCAGAGGACAGAGGGAGGGAGAGCCCCCCCCCCCCCCTACTCCATCACCCCTCCCTGCACCCCATCACCCGGCACCGCCGGTGGCTGCTGTCCCGGCACTCGCAGGCAGCAGTAGGGTGCCGGGTCCGGTTTCAATCTCCCTGGGCCGCTTGTACCGGGGCAGAAGGGGAGTGTTGGGTGGAGCAGTGAAGGAAACTTATTCCTGCTCCCGTGAGAAGAGCAGCGTACAGCGGGTAACGGAGGCGCTCAGTGTCTGCGATCTCCCCCACCACCGCCACCTCGCCGCCGGTGGAAAGGGGCTGCTAGGCGTCACTGGCGCTGCCTCCCTCACTCCCGGTGCCGGTGCGCGGCCCCCGGAGCGCCCTGGAGGGACCGCTGACTTCCTCCCTGCCCGAAGTGAGAGTTTATTCACGTCAGGCATTTCACAACGACACATCAAGGAAAAGTAGGCAGTTTCAAGTCAACCATGAAATGGTCACTTTTTAACCCCGTCCTGTCCTCATTAGGGAAATGGTCAAACACAGCCCATTTTCAAAGAGGGCTCTTAATGAGGGGAGCTTGCCAAATCTACTAGCTGCAATTCCTATAAATTTACAAACCAAAAGAAGCAGGGGGATGGGCGGGGGAAGGAGGGAGTCCACACGAGACAGGTAATGTCAAAGGAAACAGCGAGAGCCCAATGCGTTAACCCCTTGCAGAAACCACGCTGCAACCTCGCAGCTCAGTTTCTGACTGCACTTGCCGGGTTTCCTCAGATTTGCAGGGTTCAAGCAACATCCACGGCTTTTCCCTCCTACAGACCACACTGGTAAGTGACAAGTCTGGAGCATATGCTCAGGCAAGGAGAGATGAGGCAAACGCGGGGTTAACCACAATGAGCAACATTTGTTTTCATATCTGGTGTAGAATACACCCAAAATCCTATCTTCTTCTCCTTTACCCAGACACTGCAAAAAGCTGATAACACCAGCTTTAAATACTGGAGTTTCCCTTTGAATAAATATTAAATTTAACTGGAGTTAATTTACCATAAAAGACATTCCCCTTGGCACAAATGCACTGATGTCCTTGAACACACCTCTTTGAGCACTTGAACTCTTTCTTACACAACATGCCATTACTGCAGAACTGATTTAAAAGCATAGTAATCTCATTCTGTCCGTTCTCTCTTGCACCCCTCTGTGAGAATCAGGACAAGCCCCCAACACTGAATCAGCAAAGCTGTCCCTGTGAGCTGCACACATGTGAGAAGTATCCCCTTTCCCAAGCAGCATTTGCAGAAGGCCTCATTCTCCCCCACAGGTACTGGCTAAGGGACCACTCTGTGCTAGAGGCCTGTGCACTAAAAGCAAGTACAATCTGGCAAGGTCTCAGGAGCAACGAGAGGCAAGCAGGAAAAAGCAAAAGGAGCAAGGTAACGGCAGACACCAGGCTGGTTACTTTCTGCATCTCTCTCTGCTTACTGTAAAGAGGTGGAATTGGGTTTGCATCCCCACAAGAGCAGGCGGAGGGTGGGTTTGAATCCCTACACAGAGTGGTCAGGGAGGGACTGAGCCCAGCCAGCCCACCAGCAAGTGCCAGTATCCCCAGAACAGCATTGCTGGGGATCACAAAAAAGCCAGACTGTCCCTCCGCTGAGCCCATCTGTTGGCCAGGATTGAGCAGGCCCTCATGTGAAGGCATGCTTGTGGGAAATGGAGCTGCCTGGCCAGCACAGCTCAAGCAGCATCTTCTCTGCAAGACCTAGAAGCCAAGGCGACCATGGTATGGTTCAGTTTAACCCAAAGGCTCCCAGTGCATCAGTAATAGCAGGCTCAAGTAAGCACCCAGAAGGCATGTTTCAGTTCTGCTCCTCCTGGTTAATCCCAGTGGGAACCCATACAGCAGGGAGGTTTTGTCCTGGGAGAACCCTACACACACATTCAAGCACACACACATGTGCACATGCCCCCTCTATTTCACTCCACACACATACACCTCTTTCACAGGAAAGCAAGTTAAAGATTCTTTTGAGAATGGAGAGAGTTCCATTAAAATAATTTAAAAAAGAGAAACTCTCTACCACTGTATCACAAGGGTGCTGGGAACTGGGTTAACCTGGAGAAACACAGTATCAAAACAATGACAGCAGTCATTGTGGCTGGGCACCGGCATGTGGGATACGTTTGCAGTGAAGTGGTCCAACTGCTTTCATGTTCCGGCTTGCATTAACCCCATCACCCTAAAAACCCTTCTCTCCCACCCCACACACGAACAACCCTGCTGCTGCCACACATTTTCTATCCTTGAAGCTCCAGTCTGGGGAACAGTTGCTTTTTGTCCTCACTGCCAGCTATGCCAGCCTCCACACTGTATGTGGAAGTACAGCTATCCTTCCCAGGTGGACAACTGAGAAAACAAAAGTCACCATCCAGCCTTCATGGTGAGAGACACAACTCCATGGGACTGGGATGGCCTGAGGGATCCTGCCCTCATGTGTATATCATCACTGCTAAGACACTCCTGGACACATGCACAGGTGGGCACATGTGCAGCAAAGACACGTGCCTGGGAAGAAAATGCACCTTCCACACCAGTAAGTAGCAAATGCTGAGGCTGCATGTGAACCATCCTCACTGAGAGGTCATTTTCAGAGGGGGGACTGTTCCGGCACCTTTTCCATGCCTCCCACCCACCCCTGGCCGGGGTGCCCAGGATAGAAGGACACCCACTGCCCACCCTGCAGCATCTGAGATAGCTCATCTCAGGAAAGAACCAGAAAGGGGTTTTGAAACCATAGACAGATGGACTTTCTGCCCACCACGCATCCTAACTCTGCAGAGAAGTTCTCTGCCAGTGGTGCAAATCCTAGTATGCCAGGCTTGCACGGAAAGCCTGAGTTTTCCCTCTTTCCTTCACAGACAACGATCACAAACTTTACCAGATGCTGCAAAGTGGCATTCTTGGACTTCAGCAATAGCAGCCCTAAAGAGTAGATGGGACAGTTAGGCCACCCATATCTTTCCTAATGCCAAATTTCAGCTGATTGTGTTTTGGCTGGGCAACTGCACAACTGTTTCAAGTTTTGGAACACAAGACTACTACTACAAGTACAAGGGGTACAAGGGGTAACGGGTTCAGACTTAAACAGGGGAAGTTTAGATTGGATATAAGGAAGAAATTCTTTCCTGTTAGGGAGGTGAGGCACTGGAATGGGTTGCCCAGGGACGTTGTGAATGCTCCATCCCTGGCAGCATTCAAGGCTGGGCTGGACAAAACCTTGGATGGCATGGTTTAGTGTGAGGTGTCCCTGCCCATGGCAGGGGGCTTGGAACATGATTATCTTAAGGTCTTTTCCACCCCTAACTATTCTATGATTCTATTATTATGCACCAAAAATCACAGAAAGGTATTGCTAATGCTTAAGTGTGCAGCCTAAGATTCTCTCAGAATACAAGCAGGCAGTTTATATCTAAACATACACATACTGAACCAAGAGACTAAGTTTTCATGAAAATTCCAGAGGTCTTTTTGTGAAAATCAGAAACAATTGCTTCTGGCATATGGCATTTACCTAAATGATTCAATATCTGAGAACCAGCTCCAAAATTTTTACGTAAGAGGTCTCAGTGATTCAAAATACAAGCTTTACACTGATTTTTACCTCTAGCTTAGTAGTGATACTGTTAACTTCTTTTCCACCCTTTGTTAGAAAATGCCATTCACACACATGTCCATTATATATAGTTACTTAGGTACATACATAAATACTGAGTAACACCAATATAGTGTGGTTTATGTCAACTACAAGTAACAAATTATCTTAGCCATACTATATTACCATAGTGTTATCTAATAGTGATTCTGTCTGTATGACCAGTCTTTGTGCCTTGCAAAACCTCTTGTACCACCAAATTAAACTACAAAATCAAGTTTCACATCTCTGGAACAACCAGAGCCTTGGTCAGTGTTCTTATGTACATGTGTATTGTGTATGCTTATGGATATGTATGTATGTGTTAATGCATGCATATGCACAGTAAGCTGGGTAGAGAACATTCAGGGAATTAACATAACTAGTTAAATAAGCAAACTGATAATATACTGCATTTCATATGTGGCTGAATTGTAAGGTATTTATGATTTAAAATGCAAACAGCAATCAGTA